CACTTGCCTTTCGGGGGTGGCCTTTGCGACCCCGATGGCGATCGCCGCCACCACTGGCACCACCTCCATGACCTCAGAGGCAACATCCACCACTTCTGGGCCACCTATCTTTCCTGGAACCCCCTCCACTTCTCCCCCTTCAGACCCCACGGCCGCACTGGTTTCTTTCACACTCATCTCTCTCTTTCTCTTCTGGGCAGGCACTTCCTCACTCCGACTCACTCTCTTCTTCTTCTTCCCCACGCCCAACGCCTCCATCTCCTTCAAGGACCTCTCCTTCAAAGGGTCTGTTGAGGGCAGCTGTGGCACAAAATCACCCAAGTTTTTCTCTCCCAAGGGTTTGGGGCGAGGTCGAATCTGCTCCCTCGCAACTGGTTTTGGTGGTCGGTCGGCCTGGGACTCTTTGAATTGTTAGGCTTTGGCAAGAATGGCCTGATCCTCCGCCTCCTGAACCCTTCTCCTCGTCTCCAACTCCGCTCGGTCGAGGTCCCCACTACTTGGCTTTGGCCCCAACCCCGCATCAAACAATGCCGACGGCTGAATGAGCTCGTCCCATTTGGCCTTTTCTCTCTCCCTTCACTTCTTCACCCTCCCCTCCGCAGCTGCCCCCAGTTTCAGCTCCACAGACCTGATGGGAACTTTCCAAACGGTACGCGCTCCAAGCCCCCTATTGCGAGATACGTAGAACCATCGCGACCACCACCCCTTGATCGACGATGGCAGACCCGCCATCAACTCCTTCCCCACTGCTGCCTGCAGAGTGACCCACGTCTCTTGCTGCCCCGAAGCCTTATAACACGTAAAGAATTCGTCTACCGTCATGGCCTCCCCTCCATTTTCCTTCGGCCACGCACTGGCACAGGCCAGCAAGATCTTCCATGCGTTGGGCATTAGTTGCCCCGGTGCTACCTCCAGACGGTTAAGCACATCCACCACCACTTGCGGCAGTGGCAACCTCAGTCCACCCTTCAAAGCTTCCTCATAAAGGGAAAACTCCCTTGGCCTGGCGTCAGACGACCTTTCCGTTGATGTCGGTAGCAACAACTCCACTTTCCCAGGGATCTGGTATTTTTCGCGGATAGCCTCCAACTCCACCTTAGTAATCGTGGATTTGTCAGCCTTCGTGTGCCAATGATCTGGTTCCGCCTAGCTGATTGGCTTTGGAGCTGCTATCATGGTGGAACCGTGGGATCGTACCACCGACTCCCCCACCCTCTCTGTCCTATACTGCGCCGCTAGCTCCACATCATCATCATCTCCAAGCGGGTCCACCCTGACAATCGCACTTCCTTCTTCGGCCATTTTTGTGGTATGTTTGCGAATCACTTCGGCGGCAGGAACAAGATAATTGAAAAAGTGTTGCAGAGGTGTATTGTGAGCAACAAAGGAATTCACACTTCGAATATTTTGATTTTTCGTACACAAGTAGGTGAATCGAATAATGCCAAAAGTCCACAGTTTGCCCGTATTCCAAGGGTCCCAATTAATTTTTGCCAGTTTGAAAACTTTTCAAAATCATCCGCCAAAATCGTCTCTTCAACACCCACAATGACCTAACGTTTCGTTTCTGATCCAACGCCTAATCTTCTCCCCTACGGGATGTGGCCACGTGTACGACCATGATGCACTATCCACTCCCCTTACCCTGTCTTTTCTACTTCAAATCATCACTTGCCACGCCGCCCCTTGAGCCCCGTGCCAATCCACTCGGCCTTCCCGCGCGGTCGCCCCTCCCCACGGTCGGCCCTTTAGCTCGGCCAGTCGGCCCCCCGCTTGGCCTTCGCGCGATCAGCCCTCTCCACGGTCGGCCTGTCCTTACGGTCGGCCTGTCCTCAACGGTCGGCCCCTTGGGTCGGCCTGCCCTCAACGGTCGGCCTTCTCGCGCGGTCGCCCCTCTTCACGGTCGGCCCTTTAGCTCGGCTTTCCCGCGTGGTTGCACCTCCTCCCGGTCGGCCCTCCGCTCGGTCTTCACGCGATCAACCCTTCCCACGGTCGGACCATCCTACGCTCGCCTCACCAACTCGGCCGCCCATCCCGGTCGGACTCATCTTCCTCATACATATTCCCTTCTCTGGTCTGAAGCTGCACTCGGGAATGGGGGACTACTGACATGGACAGGCCCACAAAGGCCATGAACCACTATAAGTTACCCGAGCCCATCATTCGGGGCCCAATGCATAACCCTGCCGATTGAGTCCAGAATAGCTGGAATCCAATATGGCATCAAGAACCAACAGCATTCAGGCACGTGGCGGGTGAAGGACGAGCCACATCAGCAGACAAAGATCTGCAAAGTTATTGCCACTGCACATCACCATTAATGCAACCCATCACAGCATTTATTACGACAACACCTCTCCGTCGGAACAGGACCCCCTTACCCTGAGCAAGGTAAGCTACAGCATAGGCTTTCGACAAGGAGAGCAGGTCGGAAGGGACAGCGAAATGATTGCCAAAGGATATAAGCAAATGTTGCAGACAAGAAAAAGGTTAAGTTTTCTATCTCTAATCTTCTCACATATACTCTACTTCTCTTCCTAACTTGTTCGTCGGAGAGTTCACTGGGGGACTACCCCGTTCCCTGTTGAACTTGCCTGCAGGTTATCTAGTGGGCTTGATCATTTGGACACGGGCTAGAGGAGCTTGGACCTGCCTGATCCATTCACTGGGACGAACAGCTTTAACAAAATATATTTTTTGATTTTTTAGACAAAAAAGTTGAGGAAAAAAAATGGTTGTTTGGGATAGTTTTTTGACTTTTTACAAAAAAATTGTATAAATTAGTATATAGGAGAAACTTTGACAGAGTAGGCAGTACGGTGGGCAAAGTAGTGTCTAGGAGAAGTTTGCCTCCTTTTTGGGCATTGAATTGGACGGTGTTGTTCGGCCCATGAGGGCCCACCACGAGTTATGTTTTGCTAATCGAAACCGTGAATATGTAGAACTCATTGAATACTATATACCTGTAAAAAATCACGTTAATCGGATATCGATAGCTATCTGATTAAATTAGTTTTTTTATCATCCGTTAACTATAACACCATCCTTTTTTATACAAAACTGATTTGATCACGTAGTTAGCGATATCCGATCAACGTGATTTTTTACAAGTTTATATTACTCGACGAGTTCTACGCATTGCACGGTTTATATTATCAAAAACGGGTCCTGTGATGGGCCCTCACGGATCGAACAACACCGTCTTGTTTGTTTCTCCACTTGTTCCCTTTGTACAAACGGTGGGCAACTAAAGTACAACTCACGTGATATGTGAATTGTACTTTATTTTTGTAAAATTATTTTTTTTATATTTTATTTTTTGATAAATAGTGATAACTTTTTAATTTTTTTAGTAACTTTTTGATTTTTTTACTTTTTTGAGGTATGCCTAACCAGCCCTTACTCTTTTCTTTTTTTTTTTTCTAAAAAAAAACAGACCAGTATCTATTTATATATAGCCTTCGTTTGGCAACTTGGGTTGGGTTGGGTTTAGGGCTATTTTAGTCACAAAAATCCGTTTGGGAAGTGGGTTAGCTTTTTGGCTTTTTTAGCCTAGGCTAAAAAGCTTGGTTTGGAAAGAGCTTTTTGGCTTTTTGACTTTTTTTGTAAAAGAATAGTTTAATGATTATGGGTTGGATGTGATGTTTTGTTTGTTGTGGCTAAAATAGCCTATTTTGTCTTTTGTGGTTAAAATAGCCGAAAAAACTCTTGCCAAACAGAAAATAGACTTTTTAGCCTAATAAGATAAAATGTCACATCCAATCCATAATCATTACATTATTTCTCTTACAAAAAATCAAAAAAAATCAAAAAATTCTTCACGAACGAGACTTTTTTAATTTAAATTGAGGCTAAAATAGTAAAAAAGCTAAAAAAAACAACCCACTTCCCAAACGAACTAGAGTTTTACACAAACTCAAACTCAATTTAAATTATAATAATTTTACCTATTTTAAATAGATTCTATAAAAAAGTCAGAAAATTAATATATCTATATATATATAAGTATTCAAGTAACACTTTCATAGAATATATCATATAAAATCATTATATGATAATCCAATTACAACATATTTATATTTAATTTTTTCAATAAATTTTATATAATTTCTATTTTTACATATTTTAATTTTCTAAATGACTATAAAAGAAAATTAAATAATTAAAATTACTTTTAATTTTATGTTACTGATTCTTTTTCTAATTTACCTATTATTTTTAATATCAAAATGAGTATTTATTTTACTATCTTATAATTTAATAGATATCATACAAAATTATTATATGATAGTTACACTTTTATAATACAATAGAATTAAAATTATCAAAATATGCAAAATAATTTAAATAAAATTATAGCACCAATATTATCAAATTATATATTTTAAAATCATACTTTAATTTTAATTTTAAAATTAAAAATTCTCATTTATAACATACACATCATACCATCAAATAATTTTTTTTTAAAAAAAAATGACAAGTGCATTACACGGATCAATTACTAATGTATATATAGATAAATATAAACTACTCATTTTATTCTAAATTGAAATTGTAATTATGAAACTATAAATTAAACTGAAAAGTACAGTTCATCTATTTAAAAAATCAAGACCAAATGGTGTAATGAGAAAGTAAACTAAACTATAGTGTTTGAATCGAATCAATCTACAAATATATATTTTTTGGTTCAGCCCTAACTTGGAATGTTGAATGCATAAGATTTTTTGGTTTTTAAATTTTCAAAAATAGTTTTGATGTTTTTACTTATCATATCTTTTTTAGTAAATATTTTAGCTAATTTTTTATTTTTTAAATACACAAATACATTTAAAAGGTTGAAAAATGGTGAATTAAAAAAATACTAAATACAAAAAAAATTATAAAAATAAAATTTTCACAAATATTTTAATTTTTAGATCTAAAATGTAAATATATATACTTAAAAATTATTTTTAAAAAGTCAAAATGAAATAAGTAATGGGTTTGGGGCGACCCGGCTCAGCCCATAAACCACCCTGAGACTTTCTTTCCATCTCTCTCTCTCTACCCTCACCACATTTCTCTGCAACATCGATCGATCAACAAAGAAACTCTGATCTTCCATTTTTTTCACAAAGCTTTTCACTTGGTAAAGTAAGTGCTCTCACTCTATACATTGTTTCTTCTGAATCTCTAATCAACCAATCTCTCCAATTTTTCATTCAATTACCTTCCAGATCTATCTATGTATCTATCTCTCAATTTTTCAATCTCTCACGAGAGATCCAAGAGCACAAAACCCTAAAACACAAACAACACAACTCATTTACACTTTGACGTATTGAATTTGATAATCAAATCGAAATTAGAGAGAAACCCTTAAAAAGATCTGATTTTGCTAGTCCAAACCCTAGATCCAAACGAAACCCAAGTGTTAGCTATGTCCTGTTTAGCGCTCTCTCTTCAACCAGCCAATGGATCCGACATTTTGCTCCAGACCCGGGAATGGTTCCCTCCTGCCCGAGCCCTCGTTGCCCTCTCGGCTTTCCGGCAAACCCGTCTCGCTTTCGCCTCCGGGAAGCACCAGTTGGCCGAGGACGGTGATACTTCGCTCGGTGACGACCCACTTGCCGCGTCCAGTGGGCAATTGATCGTGGGTGTCGAGAGTCGGTATCGTGTTGTTTATCGATTGGTGAATTCGATATATGTTTTGGGGATCACCACGGTGGATCAAGATAAAAGTGTGAACAATGTGTTTGAGTGTATTAGTATAGTTAACCAGGCGGTTAGCGTAATTGTTACTGCGTGCCGAGGTGTTGATGTTACTCCCGAGAAGCTTAGTAGGAAGTATGCTGAGATATACATGGCATTGGATATAGTTTTGAGGGGGGTTAGTAACATTAGGCTTGCAGCGATGCTTGCGTCAATGCACGGTGATAGCATTGCCAAGATGGTGCATTCAGCAATCGACTCCGAGAATAAGATCAGGGGGGCTGATAGTTGGGCCAATGTAGAACATCATTCAGCTGAGCAACAGGCTGGTGTTGAAGCATTTTCAAATGCAAGCTTTGAATTACCTCCAGAGACTTTGGAAGCTGGTGATGAAGCTGCGGCAACCCTTGCTCCGACTGGGCAGAGCACATTAAATGAACAGGAACAGCAGCAGAAGCCTGAGGAGGATCAGACAGAGAAAGACCCATTTGCAGCGAGCGAGGCCCTTAACAAGCCTGAGGAACTTGTGGGTGGTTTTAAGAAAGATAAGGATCAGTCATCTACTGATTTGTCGATAGCATTGGCAGGTCTTGATGTTTCTACATTGCCGCCTCCTGCAGCAACGGAATCAACACACATTGGTGTTGAGGGGTTTGAAGGAGATTACGGTGGTATAGAGTTCAGTCATGAAGGATCGACTTTGGCAGAAGATTTTGAAGGGATGAATCAAGCTTGGGGTGGTGGGTTGGATGCATCAGAGTTCGTGGATCCAAAGAAAGCTGCAAAATCCCAGGGGCTTGGTGGGCTTGAATTGTTACAAACTGGGAGTGACGCACCACCAACCGCTCCAGCTGGAGCTGGCACTCCTCTTGAAAACCTTTTGGTGGAAAAAACTGAAATGAAGGGTCCTGAGATGTACATTTCAGAAGAGATTAGTGCAGAGTTCCGGGAATCATTGCTCGCTAGAGTTGGCTTAATGGGTGTGGTTTATTTAAGAACACTGCCCCCAAAATCTTCTGGTGATAAAGAAACTGAGTTTTCCTTTAAGGTTGAGGGCACGAGTGGTGTGAAGAGAGTGGTCATGCAGAGCTCTCGTGTAAGCAGCCTTGGCAATGGGATGTTTCATGTCAGGACTGCAGCCTTAGAGGAGCCTATACCAATCTTGAAGTATAGTTTGCTACCCCGTTCAACTCCACTTCCATTGAGAGTTCGTCTAATCAAACGTCACAGTGGTACTTTACTTTCACTGATGGTGCAGTATGTTTCAAACCCAGATTTGCCCGCACCCCTGACTGATGTAACAATTACTCTGAAACTGCCGGTGGATCCATCTTTGCTGAAGGTTTCACCAAAAGCCATCTTGAACCGTTCTGAAAAAGAATTGAAATGGCACATTGAAGAGATTCCTTTGAAGGGTACTCCTGGCAGGTTGAGAGCAAGGATGCCCGTGGACTCGAGTGAAGAAGATGGTGGGGATGAAATTGAGGTTGTTGGTTATGTGAAATTTTCTATTCAAGGAACTAGATCATTGTCTGGATTTTCTCTACGGCCTGCTTCTGAGGGTAAGACAGACTTTTATGAGGTTAAGCACAGGTATGAGAGTGGGATTTATACGTGCAATTGAACATGGATGATTTGTCCTATTGTGTTTCTTTCTGTTTTGTTTTTGTTCAACAGGATGTGTGTGGTTTGGATGTGTGTGTAGCATTCTTTGAACTGTAGCTTGTAACTTAGTCTCAATGTTCTCATCTGAAAGGTTTGCGTTTTTCAGTTACCAGCCATTGGCTATGTAATACATAGTAAACCTTGCTCTTTATAAATGTTTTCCTGTTTAAATTTCACTACTTTGTCTAGTACTCTGGATTCATGTCTCTAAAAAAATTGGTTACTTACTAGGAAGAAGTTCTGGAACTGCTGACCTTTATTTTGTTATACCTGCCCTATTATTTGACCATATATAGAAGCGTCAGACTATGTCGATGCTGCTACTGTTGTTTCTGTTGCTGGTGTTTGAGATAATCACTAAATGAAATAATCATTTATTGTTTACGATTGTCATCTAGAACGTTGGAAAATGCTACTTATGTGAATGCAATTTTTGTGTTGATTGTGATTGCATATACTTTATTTCGTGCTTTATGTGATGAACTGAAATTAAAGCAGTTGAAGGATTGTACAAACCTACTACTGGTATGAGAGTATTTTTTTAATTGGCTGGCCTTCTCGGTAATTGCTCGATTGGTAGAGGAGGGTGCATTGAGGTGGAGGATGTCAAAGTAGGCCTTTTTGTGGTGAAATCTTTCTATGGAACCCTGGCGGGGGGTTATCAAGAGCCTCCTTTTCCTTGGAAAGGGGTTGGGGTCCCAAACGCGCTTTCTTAAGTGTCTTTTTTTTCTTTTGGACAGCAACACATGAAAAGATTCACTTGACAATTTGATTCATAGGCACCTTTTTTGGGGTCAGTTGGTTTGCATGTGTAGATAATATGAACAATCAGTTAATCACCTCCTCATTCATTGTGGGGTGTCTATAGAGTTTTGGGATTTCATTCTTAACTTGTTTGACATTGAATAGGTGTTTCTGGTAAAGGTTGTGGATCTCCTTGATGATTGGAACTTGGAGGATGCAAGAGTTGGTAAGATAAGAGAGAAAGCCTGGATGTTGGCTTCTTCTCATGTCTTGTGGTTGGTTTGGGGTGAGAGAAATTGTAGATCTTTCAAAGGGTCAAGGAATCCGTTTTTTAAAGCTAAAGAGTAGATTTTTGGATGTTGGGGTTGTTTAGTCACTTGTTGGATCTATTTTTGTATTTCATATAATTTCAAGTAAAAAAAGATGTATTATAGGCTGAACTCATAAAAGGGGTAAATTACACTAATTTTGCTTGAGGTTTGAAAAAAATATACCTAGACCCACAAGTTTGATACAATTACAATATGATCCCTAAAGGTTTTAATTGACGTAATACATAACCCCCTTTCCCTGTCATTCATTAATCCTATGGATGAAAAAATAATGTTGTATTTTTTACACTAAAATATATATATTTTACTCGTAATTATCCCTATGTTTACCCAATAACTGCATTAGTTTCATTTGCTTTAGCCTTACTAAAAGGGATGTTTATGGGGTTGATTGTATTTTTTTTCAAACCCCATGGGTGGTCAATGTAATTTACCCCAAAAGAAAAAGAGGACAGCTTTGATATGGCTTTTTTCCTTTTGTAAATGGGTGGCATCCTCTTTTGATGCATGTTTAATATACTAATCTAAGAAGCATGAACGCGTGAGACGCACCAACACATAATTTTTTTTTAAAATGTAGGATACGACATAGAAAACACGTGCAAAATAGTTTATTTCTTAACTTTGTGATAGACGCAACAAGTATCAGTCCCTTGATTCTACACCTCCCTTTCGGATCCTATCTTGATAATTTTTTAAATTTCCTGATTTACATGTTTAATTGAATTCCATCTGGGAAAGATGATGTTTGGAAAGCCAATGTGGCTTTCATTTTGCAGTATTTCACACCGTCGTTGATGTTTGTTTGTAGCTATTTCCCTTTTCTTTTCTCTAATTTTCTGTTCTAGTTCTCAAGAAGAATGTTTCTCTCTAACTCTCTCCGTCCTTCTCCATCCTTTTCTCTTTTCTTTTAGGAACTAATTTGCTTAGGCAACTAACAGTTTCATTTCGGTTTCCAATTCCCCTCCTTATTCTGGTGAAGGTTATCTGTAAGCTTGGCTTGTTGTATTTCTTTTGACATTGTGCTAGCGCAGCGGTCTGTTTGAATTGTCAGATACACAATTCTCTTATGGCGTATGAATGGCTAATACATATTCTTATATATCCGAGTTGATAGAGTTGGAAGAATAATTAATTTAAAACGACGCCGCATTGAGGTCATAACTCACTCTCAATGACGTCACTCACTCTCTCGGATGACGCAAGTCACTCTCTAAAAACTTTACTGGTATAAGAGAGTGAGGGAGTGACTTATATATGATTCCAGGAGCGTCCCACTAATATTACCCGAGACGCTCCCCCCGCACCACGTGTCGTCCCCCGATTGGTGCTCCCTTCCGCAATTCGCGGCGTGTTGTCAAATAGGGGCTCCGCTCCGCTTCCAGATTTGCGGTTAGGATTAAAAGATATAAAAAGGCAAGCGCTAGCGGGAATTTTGAATTTAAATGGTGGGCTCATTTGTATGGTCCACATGTTGTTTCCTTGGTGCATCCTATGCCATCTATTACTATTTGTCGTCAAATACGCTCATCGTTCCACTATTCCGCGTATTTTAGTTGCCATGCACTGTTAACGTTGACCCATATCACGGTCAACATTTTATGCCTATAAAATTAAACCGATGTGCTCCATTTAATTGCTGGAGTTTCACCATCGATTATGGCTACTACGTTCCGATTTTTGCAACGTCGTCCATATACTCCCAGAACAAAAATAAATTTTAGTCGTCAGTGGACCACATCTAGTAGATCTAGTGTTTCGGGATGACGTTATTTTAAGCGAAAATGGAGTTATTAAAAAAAAAACGATTCACGTCTAAATCGTTTTGTGATTCCATCTGGAGGATTGACGATTTTCGCCCGTTTAATGAGCCGCATTTTTTTCATTTTGACTTGCCTGATGTTGGTACTGAACAAGATGAAAGACTTGGGGGAAAATTAAAGCTTCTAGGACTGTACATATAGGGTGTAGTTTTACGCCAAACTGGCGGGCTCTCTGAGGTTGCCGCCGATACGCTTGGATTGGAAAGCGACATGCGTGATGCTCCTACTCAAGTTGTGGATTTCGATACATCTGGTATATTTGACAACAGACAATGTGAATTTGTCGTTGTGTTGGATCGCTTTCCTAATCCTGCCTATACGCATAAATTTGAAGATGTTTTCCAGTGGTCCAGTGGTGATCCACGAACTGGTTGTATGGTCAGGGGCACGGAAACAAATCGTTTTGTTGTATTGCGGCGTGTGCCTGTTTCAATGCCGCCGCAAACTAATGAATATGCAGCCGTTAGCCGTCAAGGCGTTAAAACATTTATCAACATGGGAAACAATTTTGTATCCGAATTCCGGGATAGTGGTGGACTTCTGACTAGCGCGTATAATAATATTGTAAAAAACGCAATTATTTGTTATTTTGTGTGGGAATGTCGCAGAAAATCGTTTGTAAGGGCGCATTTGAATTGCAGACTGAAATATTGTTATTACTAAAATAATTGATTACAATTTATTTTACATTGGCCTCCGTTATACATTATGTTTCTGGGCTGATGTGGATCCTTCCACTGCGGCCTTTACAGCGGCCTTTACAGCGTCTGCTATTAATTTAGACACCTCGTCCGTATTGAGTCTTGATGATTCGGAGTTATTGGATCCGGCCTCACTTACTGATGGGCCTATGTCAACTGAGCCGCTAGGCTGATTATTCGGCCCATTGCTAATTATTGATGGGCCGCTGCTCGGCATAATCATGTCGCGCCGACTGAATGATTCAGGCCCATCTTGAATTGAACTTGATGAAAATCGTGCCGCCATTATCCTTTGGGCCGAAGAACCGTATTGGCCCATTGGTGCTGACAATGTCATTGTGGACCGAAAACGTGATTCAGAATTACAACGTGCTAGTCTTGCCTTCGCCACTTTGTGCTCCACGTGCCAAATATCCACGTGGCTGTTGTTGAATACTTTGGACAAAACAGTTATTAATGGCGGCCGATAAGCAATTTCATCTGGGAAAGATGATGTTTGGAAAGCCAATGTGGCTTTCATTTTGCAGTATTTCACACCGTTGTTGATGTTTGTTTGTAGCAATTTGTACGACGCTGTCCATGGGCATCCGTTCTTATCTGCGGCAGCATACACGTTTCCAAAATATGTGATGTCTACTGGGCATGTAACTGGAAAAGTAAAGCGAGCCTGTAATTGATCATCCGCTCGTAACCGTGTGTCCCGTATTTCAACTTCAACGCGACAGGTAGAATTAAATGGACACTGTGGCCTGTAGCTTAGCATGCATTTATCAATTATCATTGACTTGAATGTGAACTTCTGCCACATTGTATCTCCTATCTTTGGATTTGCTATTGATATATTGGAAACCGACAAGTTTGATGTCGCGTCTATTATTTCGGTTTCCAATTCCCCCTTCTCATTCTGGTGAAGGTTATTTGTAAGCTCGGGTTGTTGTATTTCTTCTGACATTGTGCTAGCGCAGCGGTCTGTTTGAATTGTCAGATACACAATTCTCTTATGGCGTATGAATGGCTAATACATATTCTTATATATCCGAGTTGATAGAGTTGGGAGAATAATTAATTTAAAACGACGTCGCATTGAGGCTATAACTCACTCTCAATGACGTCACTCACTCTCTCGGATGATGCAAGTCACTCTCTAAAAATTTTACTGGTATAAGAGAGTGAGGGAGTGATTTATATATGATCCCAGGAGCGTCCCACTAATATTACCTGGGACGTTTCCCCTGTGCCACGTGTCGTCCCTCGATTGGTGCTCCCTTCCGCAATTCACGGCGTGTTGTCGAGTAGGGGCTCCGCTCCGCTGCCAGATCTGCGGCCACGATTAAAAGATCTAAAAACGCAAGCGCTAGCGGGAATTTAGAATTTAAATGGTGGACTCATTTGAATGGCCCACATGTTGTTTCCTTGGTGCAGCTTGTGCCATCTATTACTATTTGTCGTCAAATACGCTCATCGTTCCACTATTCCACGTATTTTAGTTGCCATACACTGTTAACATTGACCCATATCACAGCCAACACATCGATGTTCTTCGACATTACACATGATCAAACTAATCGCCATTTCCATC